ATCGTCATCGTCATCGTCATCGTCATCGTCATCGTCATCGTCATCATCACCGTCATCGTCATCGTCATCGTCATCGTCATCATCATCATCACCATCATCATCATCATCATCATCATCATCATCAACGCTATCAATAATTTGTTCATAGAGGCTCCAGCCATCCACGTCGAGGTGTTGTTTTAACCCGTCCACCTTGCTTGTCAGGGTCAACTGAGGTTCAGAAGCCTACAGTGTCCGAGTAGATACAAAAAAACCCAACAAAACAACAACAACCCCAAAGTGCAGAACTTCCCAGAGAGGAATTGAACTCACGTTTTCTGAGTGAGGCGGCGAAGCGAAGTGACTAACCACGACACCTCAGGCACCGATGTGAAGTTGTGTAAGCCTTTAGTTTCGTTTTAGTAAGAGCTTTACAGCACCTGCAACACTACAAGGACATATCAGTGCGGAAGATTCGATGTGTTACAGGAGAGATCAGTCAGAACGATAGGTGTTTGATAGGAAAGACGGCGCAAACCCCACCAGAGCACCCACCAACCATCCACTGTGAAAGCCTTCAGAGCCGAAACAAGACTTAATGTATTAAAACAAAAGACATCTTCAGCTTAAATAATCGTTTAGCAGCCTTTTGCTATTGTGACCGTTTTACGGCACCTGCAATACAATTAGGTCATGAAAGTGCCGAAGATTAGAGGTGTTACAAGAGAATCTTTTTTTTAAAACCGTGTCTAACAACAAATCAGAATTCTGGATTTACGTTTTACGGCGCGGTCGACACGATTAGGTCACGTCAGTGCAGCACGGATACTACCAAAAGGAACAACTGATAATTATAACACAACAGAAGGAGCCAACAGAAGGAGCAAGAAGCAAGCTGGCCTGAGCCTCTCTAGCAGCGACTGCCCGCCTACCACTCAGGGCTAGAGCTTCCGGGGAACTCTCCCATTCAGACGGTTGCTAAGGGAGCATGACACTACGCCCAGCTACCTGCGAGCTGCCTCCTCCACACTTCACTACCGGCTGACACTAAACAACCCCTCCAAGAGTGTCATTCTTTCTCTCCAAAATTATTGTCGTTTAAATCCCATCCCCTCCCCCCCT